TCAAAGTGCTCATTTTCATTAAGACCTAGAATCAGCCCTTGGTGGAACTACTTTGCCCAGACATTTAACAAAATCTAAATTCATTGAGCAGTGGTTTGTAGGTCTCCTTGAAGAGGTCCTTCACAACCCTTGTTAGTTGTATTCCTAGGTATTTTATTCTCTTTGTAACAATTGTGAATGGGAGTTCGTTCTTGATGTGACTCTCTGTCTGTTATTGGTGTATAGGAATGCTTGTGATTTCTGCACATTGATTTTGTATCCTGAGACTTTGCTGAAGTTGCTTATCAGTTTAAGGAGATTTTGGGCTGAGACAATGGGGTCTTCTAGATATACAATCATGTCATCTGCAAACAGAGGCAATTTGACTTCCTCCTTTCCTATTTGAATACCCTTTATTTCTTTTTCTTGCCTGATTGCTCTGGCTAGAACTTCCAATACTATGTTGAATAGGAGTGGTGAGAGAGGGCATCCTTGTCTCGCACCAGTTTTCAAATGGAATGCTTCCAGTTTTTGCCTGTTCAGTATGGTATTGGCTGTGGGTTTGTCATAAATAGCTTTTATTATTTTGAGATACGTTCTATCAATACCTAGTTTATTGAGAGTTTTTAGCATAAAGGGCTGTTGAATTTTGTCGAAGACCTTCTCTGCATCTATTGAGATAATCATGTGGTTTTTGTCTTTGGTTCTGTTTATGTGATGGATTACGTTTATAGATTTACATATGTTGAACCAGTCTTGCATCCCTGGGATGAAGCTGACATGATCATGATACAAACCACTGCTCAAGGAAATAAGAGAGGACACAAACAGATGGAAAAACATTTCATGCTCATGGTTAGGAAGAATCAATATCATGAAAATGGCCATACTGCCCAAATAACTCATAGATTCAATGCTATCCCCATCAAGCTACCATTGACTTTCTTCACAGAACTGGAAAAAACCACCTTAAACTTTATATGAAACCAAAAAAAGAGCCTGCATGGCCAAGACAATCCTAAGCAAAAAAAAAAGACAAAGCTGGAGGCATCATGCTACATGATTTCAAACTATACTACAAGGCTACAGTAATCAAAGCAGCATGGTATTGGTACCAAAACAGAGATACAGACCAATGGAACAGAACAGAGTCCTCAGAAGTAACACCACACATCTACAACCATCTGATCTTTGACAAACCTGACAAAATCAAGCAATGGGGAAAGGATTTCCTATTTAATAAATGGTGTTGGGAAAACTGGCTAGCCATGTGTGGAAAGCAGAAACTGGACCCATTCCTTATACCTTATACAAAAATTAACTCCAGATGGATTAAAGATTTAAACATAAGACCTAATACCATAAAAACCCTAGAAGAAAACCTAGGCAATACCATTCAGGACATAGGCATAGTCAAGGACTTCATGACTAAAACACTAAAAGCAATGGCAACAAAAATACACAAATGGGATCTAATTAAACTTAAGAGCTTCTGCATAGCAAAAGAAACTCTTATTAGAGTGAACCAGTAATCAATAGAATGGGAAAAATTTTTTTGCAATCTACCCATCTGACAAAGGGCTAATATCCAGAACCTACAAAGAACTTAAACAAATTTGCAAAAAAAAAAAAAAACCAAATAACCCCATTAAAAAATCTGAAGACCACAGATGCCGGAGAGGATGTGGAGAAACAGGAACACTTTTACACTGTTGGTGGGAGTGTAAATTAGTTCAACTCTTGTGGAAGACAGTGTGGCACTTCCTCAAGGATCTAGAATTAGAAATACCATTTGACCCAGCAATCCTATTACTGGGTATATACCCAAAGGATTATAAATCATTCTGTTATAAAGGCACAGGCACACATATGTTCATTGTGGCACTGTTTTCAATAGCCAAGACTTGGAACCAACCCAAATGCCCATCAGTGACAGACTGGATAAAGAAAATGTGGCACATATACACCATGGAATACTATGCAGCCATAAAAAAGGATGAGTTCATGTCTTTTGCAGGGACATGGATGAAGCTGGAAACCATCATTCACAGCAAACTGAGCCAAGACCAGAAAACCAAACCCTGCATGTTCTCACTCATAAGTGGGTGTTGAACAAGGAGAACACATGGACACAGGGAGGGAAACATCACATACTGGGGTCTGTTGGGGACTGGGAGAGCTAGGCGAGGGATAGCAGGTGGTGGGGGGATTGGGGAAGGATAACATTGGGAGAAATACCTAATGTAGATGACAGGGGGATGGATGCAACAAACCACCATGGCATATGTATACCTATGTAACAATCCTGCACAATCTGCACATGTACCGCAGAACTTAAAGTATAAAAAATATATAAATTCGTTAGTAACTTGGGACCTCACACATGACAATAGGAGAACCTGAGCTACCTATATTCGCAAACACTCTCTCATCTCTCATGTAACTAGTTTAACATGTAGCTATTTTTTGTTAACTCCCCCCAAAATCATCACTATTTGTGTTTTACTTACTTTTTAATATTTTATTTCCTTGTTTACTTTATATTTCAAATTCCTGGGGGTATAAATCTTTGTTGTATCTTCTCTCACCCATAGTTAACGATATGTTTTGTAACTTTCTGTGTATGCCAATAAACTTGTTTTATTCTCTAGGAATCCTATCAGCCTGGATTGTAGGATAGTGCTTCCAAGGAATTTTCATATTTTTCTCTCCTCTAACTTGAAATCAATTTTTATTTAACTGCTAGATAGGAGGTTTATGTACCACACGCACAGTAAGCAAAGAACTACAGATATTAGTAGACACAAGATTTTAATGTGTGATAAAGCCTTACAAATTAGATGTTGAGGAAAAGAATTATTTTGTTAAAGAGTGAAATTATGTAAGAAAATTAAAACAAAACTGGGAGTTCAGGGGAATCCCGGGATGGAATCCAGAATGTGACAAAACAATCTAACTATACAACAAATGCATGAAACAGCTTTACAAATGTTTCAGGTGCTGACCTCAAACTTTGGAAATGAGCAAAGTCTGCAAAACTAAAGATGAAAGAAACTACATAGGCACTAGACCTCTAGCTGAGAAAGTTGTTTCCCACACAGTTTACCAATTCTGCTACTATTCTACATGTATACTGTATTTGAACAATGAAGTAAACACATGGCAGATGGTAGGAGCCAGATTTCTCACTGTTGAAGTTGGAGGTTACAGATAAGCAAGGGGAGAGTCTAGTGTGATCTTAGTGGTAAAGGAATAAAGTTGGAGGCATCAATATGAATTCATTTTTAGCTTAATATAGCTACAGATGGTTACATATAGAAATATGTATAGGGGTGTGTGTATGTGTATATACAGGAAATATACACACATATATTTTCTTGCATTATTGGCTAAGAGGGCTAGAAACAATAAAACTGGAGTAACAAGCACACTTAGCACCCACATCTTGGTTTCTAATATCATTTTCCAATAAAAGTAACCAGAGCACCTTGGTGAAATGGCTGATTCTAAGATTGAAACAGGAAATATACAAGATGGACCTGGAACATCTTGTAGTGCCAGAAAGCATTAAATTAGGCAGCCCCTGCCTGCCTCCCAACACACATAAACAATGAGAGTAGTCAAAAGGACCCAGGAGTCAAAGGAAAGAGCTTCCAATGGCCAAAGCTGGAACAATTTCTTCAACAACAGCAACTAAAAGAAATAACATTGGATTATAACACAAAATATACAATAAATCTTTATGAATCCATACTGATGCGAGATTTTTCTAGGCCCCTTCACCAGACTTGTGGCAGGGGCACTGCCTCTACTTGGCCCACCACGCTCAGCCCCTTGCAGCAGGGAGCATGTGAGCAGGTGATGACTGCTCCAAATGACTGCTCTGGGTGTCAACACAGGAGCAAGCTCCGTGGGGGCCTGTGATCAGACCAGGTGTGTTGCCTTGAAGGGAACATGGTCATGCCCAGGTGACAGTGTCCGATTATGACCCTGAAGCCCCAGAGGGGGTGTCACGGTGCTCTTTTAGTTCCACCATCTGCAGTCTGATGGACAGCACTGTGATAGCAGCTCAGTTTGCCTCTTGCCTCATTGCATAGGGTGACTGCCCTTTGCCAGTGAGGGTAAAGGGCCAGTGTGACAACATTTTCAGGGTACCCGTACTCAGTGGATCCCGAGCTCTTGTCCAGCATCCAAGAAGAATGAGGCCACATAGATAACTGAAGGATAGTGAAGACAGAGAATTTTGAGTGATGAAAATGGCTGTCAGCAGCCAGGGGAGCTACAAAGGGGCCAGGAAGGTCAGGTCATCTTCACCGAAGTCAGGCCACTTCCACCTCCACTGACTGAGTCTGGGGTCTTTATAGGCACAGGATGGGGCATGCATGCTGATTGGCTTGTGAGTATGCAAAAAAGGTTAAAGTGAAGACACCATTCAAAGGTGGGCATGACAGTGTAGAAAACAAATTAGGAAAGGGTAAGTATATGTAAAATAGGTGAGGGGTGGGGATTAGAGGAAAGGGTGCCAAACAGGAGGACAAGTTCTCAACCAAACCTGGGGATTTAATTTGTAGTTTGGCTTTCAGGCTTTAAACTCTCTTTGGCTTGGAGGTGGGATTTCACTGGGAACCTGTCGCTATCCACCTAATCATTTGGCTACCTCCTGTCACTACCGATACTACATAAATAAATGATTAAATAAATAAATTGGGGGGAGAAAAGATAAAATTCTAGGGAGAACAATTCCAAATAATTTGTGTAGAAGCTGCACCCCTGTGGGGGAGCATAACTCCCCAGCCTTCAAGTGTGGGCTGCATAAAGTGACTCCCTCTTAGAGAATGTAATACGGAGAGGGAAACAAAAGCATCTTCATAGTAGAGAAACCTGACAAACACTCCCTCAGCCAGCTGATCAGTCATAATCAACAGGGATAAGTCGTGCTGCTATGTGTCCTTGAGATAATGTGATGAAATAGCACTTGACCTCTACAGTTTTCCTCCCCCAAACCCAAAACCCCAGTTGAGACATGCATCAGACAAATCCCAGTAGAAGGACATTACACAAAATATCTGACCACTTCTCAAACCTGCCAAGATCATCAAAAACAAATAAATTCTGAGAAATATGATCATAGCCAAATGGAGCTAAGGAGATGATGCCTAAATGTAACACAGTCTCCTGGATGGAACCCTGGGACAGAAAAACAACATTACATAAAATGTGAGTAAATGCATTTGTTAATATGTGAGGATTGGTTCGTTAGTTGTATGAATACTAATGTCAGTTGGTAGAAGTAGGAGGAACTGGGTATGGCATTCATGGGAACTCTGTGTAGTCTTTCCAATTTTTCTGTAAATCTAGATTTGTTCTAAAAATACAGGCTTTTTTTAAAAAGATAATGTTGCAATAAACTTCCTTTTATGAAAAAAACGCTAATGGAAAATCTCAAAATCTAGAAAATAATTAGAACATTTTTCTTTTTTTTTCTTTCCTTTTATAATTAGAACTTTTTCCTAACCTGCAATATTATTATTCTGAAATAAGGACTGTTAGTTTTTTTAAATATGTGGTGCTGGATAATTAAATAACAATTTTTAAAAATCATAACAACCCTACATTATTCCATTTAGCAAACAAATTAAAAATTCAATATAACACAACAGAAAATCAAAAGAAAAATATGTGATAAAAATATTTGCAACAATATTATGACAGAGAGAAAATAACATTAATTTCTAAGTAGTGTATACTTTTTTACAGGAAAAACCCCAAAATCCAAGAAAACAGCTAGTTAGAAGCATTAAAAAATTTACAAAGAAAGAAATACAATAGCTAATACATATTTAGCAAAACATTTACCTTGGTTCCTGGAGCAACTGATAATTGGTGAAACTGGGTAATGAGCACACGGGATTCTTCATACAATTCTCCCTACTTTTGGATATGCTAGAAATTTTTCCATATTAGAAAGATAAAAGTTTCACCTTACTAAAGACGATTGCACATTTTAAGCATATATGTCTATAAAATTAAATATTTTATTTGTTTGTCTAATAAAACCCAACTGTGGATATGTTACAGTGAAATATTCTCACTGATACTCAGATTGTGGAAATGTAACTTTGTAAAGCTTTTCATGGAAAGCAAGTTTGTTTTACACACACACACACACACACACACACACACAGAAAGTTCTTGAATACTTTTAAATGGCAGACTGAGTGCACGTTTACCATCCTTTTACCACATAGTCCATTGAATTCTTTTAAAAGGTAAATGAAAAAGAAAATATGGATGAGTATCATTGGCTGACCACAAATTTTCAAAACTTATTGGAAAAGAGAGAACAGATAAAACCAAATTGACACAGTTGATTGAGAAGTATCAGCTCTGTTTTGGAATCTATGATTTCCCTAACCAACCTTTTTCCCCACTCATTTTATTTTTACCAAGCTTTATACACTAATAAATCTCCTGCATTTAAAATAGCTTCTCAGCATCTGTTTCCCAGAGGACACAAAGGCACAGTTGTACATATGATCACGAAATTTCTGACCTCAAATTATTTCTTTTAAATCCAAAAACATACTGGAAAAGAGAAGAATCATAGTGGCATCAGACTTCTCAGCTGCTAGACAGGTTGTTGAAAATAATATTTCCGCAAACTTTTAAGGATAACAGATTTTGTGACTATGCCATAGGTCTATACTCAAACTGTATTTCTTAAAGGGAAAAATGATACATATACACGGAATCAAAGAGCTATCCTGCCACATCAACTTTTGGGGAAAAAAAATCCTAAGTATTTTCTCCAGAAAAATGGAAAATAAATAATCATAAAAGACATATTAATTATTTTGTTTGTTTGCAAGTAACAGAAATCTATGTAAACTAGCTAGGCAAAAAGGTGAGTTTTTATAAGGAAACAAATCTATGTGGCCCAGCAAGGTGGCTCATGCCTATAATCCCAGCACTTCGGGAAGCCGAGGCAGGCAGATCACTTGAGATCAGGAGTTTAAGACCAGACTGCCCAACATGGTGAAACCCCGTCTCTACTGAGATACAAAAATTAGCCAGGCATGGTGGTGGATGCCTGTAATCCCAGATACTCAGGAGGCTGAGGCAAGAAAATCACTTGAACCCAGGAGGTGGAGGTTGCAGTGAGCCAAGATTGTGCCACTGCACTCCAGCCTGGGCATCAGAGCAATACTCTATCTCAAAAAAAAAAAAGCTACTTTACAAAATCTGTCTTAGATTGGATCCCCTAGAAACCAAAGCCTGAAGCAAAAGTTCATGTGCTACTATTTTATTAGAACATACAAGCCTAGGAAGAAGAGAACGGACAAAGAGCCAAGATGGGAAGGAGGGAGAGCAACAATAGAGTGAATTACCAGGCGTGTCATCCTTTGGTATCCAAAGAGATAGACTACCAGATCTGACAGGAGCCTCCGTTTTCCAGGGAGCTTTTTAAATGATTGAATATCAGGACAGCCTATCCAACAGCTCCTAACTCCACTGGACAGTGGACGGCCCCACAAGGAGCTGACTTCTTCGTACTTTTAAGTTGCACCATCATAAATGGGCACCACGCAGATTCTGAAATTTATCAATACTTTAGAATCAGAAGGGAAGCCCCAGAAAGGAGGTGACAGGGAAGGGGAGAGGCAAGTGGTGTTGGGAGCAGGGCCCTGTCCAATTGTGCATACAAGAAAAAGCCCACCTAGAACCCCTTACTTGTTGGTCGCAACGACAATAAGCCAAAGATTCTTGAGACAAGCAGTGGTGAAAGGTTCTGAAGTGCACTTTATTTATTTATTTAGTTAGTTAGTTTTCCTTTTTGTTTTTGAGACAGAGTGTCTCTCTGTCACCCAGGCTGGAGTGCGGTGGCGCAGTCTCGGCTCACTGCTACCTCCGCCTCCCGAGTTCAAGTGATTCTCCTGACTCAGCCTCCCAAGTAGCTAAGGTTACAGGCACCCATCACCACACCTGGGTAATTTTTTTGTATTTTTAGTAGAGACAGGGTTTCACCATGTTGGTCAGGCTGGTCTCAAACTCCTGACCTCAGGTGATCCATGCACCTCAGCCTCCCAAAGTGCCAGGATTACAGGTGTGAGCCACCGCACCCAGCCTGAAGTTCACTTTAGAGGTATCTGAATCAGAGTTCAGGATGGAGTCAGGACTCTCTAATAAAGCAAATCCAGCGACTGAGATCCAGGAAGAGCAGAGCTGCCCCTGTTTCTCGTTTCTCTTGTTGCGCCTCTCTCAATGTCAGGTGTCCACAGTCAAGGTCACCTTGATTCTCTATGGCTACAGATGGAATTCCTCAGACGTGAAAAGTGATTTAAAACAAGCAAAATAAGAGAGTAGCTTTGTACAAACTAAAGATGATGAGGAGCATGCTTGACTCAACTCTCTGAATCTAAGTTTCAAATAAAAAGAAACAAATAACTGGAGGGAACACATTGTGTGAGTTGATGGAAGCCCAGCTGTTATGAAGATGTCAGTATTTTCAAATTAATTTATGGATTTATCATGACCCAATCACCGTTGCACGGAATTTGGAAGAGGATCTAAAAAAGTTTTATTTTTAGCTGGAGAAATGAGTGAGATTAAACTTTTAAAATGAAAATCAAGGGTAATATAAAGAAATTAGACATTCCAGCTGTTAAAAAAGTCAGTCTTCACTTAAGGACTTGGATAGGTTCTTGGAAACTGTGACTTTGCGTGAAACAATGTATAAAAAAAAACAATTTTGGCTGGGCGCAGTGGCTCATGCCTGTAATCCCAGCACTTTGGGAGGCTGAAGCAGGCAGATCACTTGAGGTCAGGAGTTCAAGATCAGCCTGGCCAACATGGCAAAACCCCGTTTCTACTAAAAATACAAAAATTAGTCAGATGTGGTGTAGCATGCCTGTAATCCTAGCTACCCCGGAGGCTGAGACAGAAGAATCACTTAAACCTGGGAGGTGAAGGCAGAGGTTGCAGTGAGCGGAAATCATGACATTGCACTCCAGTCTGGGTGACAGAGTGAGACTGTCTCAAACAAACAATTTTTTTTCTCATCAACTTTATTACTAGCGACATTGAAGGAAATGATATTATACAAGGATCTGTTCCATATTATTGGGCTTAAAGTTACAGTTTCCCATCCATGACATTGAGGACTTATTATATATCCCATTGTATCTGGGCTGGCATAAGAATAAACAGATCATGAGAGAGCAATGTACAAAACAGATAGACAAGAATAGGCGAATAGCACAGAATGTCTCTGGGCTATTAAAATTAAAATTACTTTTAAGTTATTAAGCCAGTACTGAATCTGATAATACCTCAACTTGGGACTGTCAAAGTTTTTTTTAGCTTGTGCATATTGCTCTCAGTCTCTGCCATTTAGGGATTTCCCCTTCTTATGAACTCAAGATGACATGAAATTTTTTATTTTTGTGTCCACAGGCTACCCTTCCCAATTGCTTCTACTCAGTGATGTTGGCTTGTCAGGCCACGATAACTGCCATGTGCGTAAATGATAACTGGTGCAAATCCAAGTAGAAATGTATGAGTTAGATGTGTTTGGTACCACTAGAGCCTACTGACCTTTCTCAATTGGAGTTCTGTGAGAAAATGATTTTGATTATGTCTCAATTGCACCCTTCCCTCCAAATGATACACTGCTACTGCCATTACAGACACATAAGAAAGAAGTTAATGCAGCCGGGTGCGGTGGCTCACACCTGTAATCCCAGCACTTTGGGAGGCCAAGGCAGGTGGATCACCTGAGGTCAGGAGTTCAAGATCAGCCTGGCCAACATGGTGAAACTCCGTCCCTACTGAAAATACAAAAATTAGCCAGGTGTGGTGGTGGGTGCCTGTAATCCCAGCTACTTGGGAGGCTGAGGCAGGAGAATCACTTGAACCCGGAGGTGGAGGTTGCAGTGAGCCGAGATTGTGCCACTGCACTCTGGCCTGGGCAATAGAGTGAGATTGACTCAAAACAAAAAAAGAAAGAAAGAAGTTAATTCATTGTGTACATTGAATGCTTCCTAGCTTAATCCTCTCATGAAATCTTACTTGAGAAGAGGTAACATAGATTACACTTGAGCAGAGCAAAATGGGCCACTTTCTTTGGGCAATTTGATGTTTCAACCTGTTACTGGACCCCACCACTTACCCAAAGCTAGCCGTCAGCTTGGGGCTTTCCTCAGTATTGTCCCTTTCGTGGTCGCCAGAACAAAGTTACTGGAAAGGGATCCCAATTCGGACCCCAACAGAGCCTTCTTGGATCTCACACAAGAAAAAATTCAGGGCAAGTCCATACAGTAAAGTGAAAACAAGTTTATTAAGAAAGTAAAGGAATAAAAGAATGGCTTCTCCATAGACAGAGCAAATCCAAGGGCTGATGGCTCCCCACTTTTATGGTTATTTTTTGATGCTATGCTAAACAAGGAGCGGATTATTCATGCCTCCCCTTTTTAGACCATATAGGATAACTTCCTGATGTTGCCATGGCACTGGTAAACTGCCATGGTACTGGTAAACTGCCATGGTACTGGTGGGAATGTAGCAGTGAGGTTGACCAGAGGTCACACTTGTTGTCATCTTGGTCTTGGTGGGTTTTGGCTGGCTTCTTTACAGCAAGCTGTTTTGTCAGCGAGGTCTTTGTGACCTGTGTCTTGTGCCAACCTCCTGTCTCAGCCTGTAACTTAGAATGCCCAGTAGGTCTCAGCCTTATTTTACCCGGCCCCTATTCAAGATGGAGTTGCTTTGGTTCAAACACCTCTGACAAATCCACTAAGTACTAGACAGGCAAAATTAATAAGACAAATAACCTATTTTAACATCCACATTATGGCCTCAGGAAATCCTGTGGCCTAAAAACTTTAATCTCATCAGATTCTTATTAGTTTGCTGGGGTTGCTGTAACAAAGTACCACAAAGAGAGCGTCTGACACAAATGTATTATGTCACAGTTCTGGAGACTAGAAAGTCTGAAATCAAAGTTTTGGCAGGGTTTCTTTCTTCTAGGGCTGTGAAGTGAAGAGCTATTCCAGGCCTCTCTTTCTCTCTGCCTTGTAGACGGCCATCTTCATGTGCCCATGGCATTCTCCCTGCATGGCTGGCTGTGTCCAAATTTCACCTCCTGCATGAGGAGTTGGATTCGAGCTCACCCCAATGACCTCATTTTAACTTGACTACCTCTATAAAAACCTTGTTTCCAAATAAGATCACATTCTGTGGGAGTGAGGGTGGGACTTCAAGAGAGGAATTTGTGCATGGCTCTGCTACTTAACCCATAACATAGCTTGTATAAGCAACTGTTAGTTTTGAACTGAAAACCTCGTTTCAGTAATCTTTTCCAGTAATCACCACGACTTCCAGGAACAGACATACAATCCAGACTTAAACAATCAGAGAAGCCTGTTGCCCCGGCATTATGATTGGTTTAGGGATGGCCACATGACTCAAATCAAGCTAATCAAAATCCTCACTAGGACTTTCACTGTTAAGATCAGGAAAGACTGCAGGGGCTGAGAACCACCATGTAAGCCTAACTGCGGGCAGCCATCTTGGGGGGCACATGGACAGACGCTGCCTGAAAATAAAGACAACTGTACTGGATGCATGGCTTGCTACCCAAATCACTCCCTCTGGACGGAGGCACTGATTTTCTCAGCTGCTTGAAATATTGGCAGCTGATGGCCCTCAGCTGAGTTGTTCTCCATGAATTGCCCTCAGCCAGAAAAGCCACCTCACCCAAGGATTGATGGCTGTGGGGCTTAGAGCTTATAAAGGCCCAGTCCCCTTCCCTCAAGACCAGACAACCTTTGATAGGGTTATTTGAAACCAGAGCTCATCACAGAATCAGCTGCCTCCCACTGCACAGTCTTGCTTCCTTTACCCTTCTTAGCCGTGCTTCTATTGAGAGCACTCCCCAGCAGACTCGCTGCATTCGAAATCTTCATCTCAAACCTATGACACCAGCACAGAGGAAAGTGGCATTATGGGATCCTGATTACTTCTCTGAGGCTATGGATTCAACCCTGGCACCTCTTGGCTATACGAGCCAATACATTTCTTTCTATTTTTTATTTTACTTATTTATTTTGAGGCAGGACCTTTTTTTTTTGAAATGGAGTCTTGCTCTGTCGCCAGGCTGGAGTACAATGGTGCAATCTTGGCTCACTACAACCTCTGCCTCCTGAGTTTGAGAGATTCCCCTGCCTCAGCCTCTTGAGTAGCTGGGACTACAGGTGCACACCACCACGCCTGGCCAATTTTTTGTATTTTTAGTAGAGACAGAGTTTCACCCTGTTGGCCAGGATGGTCTTGATCTCCTGACCTCATGATCCACCATGAGGCAGGATCTTGTTCTGTCACAAAGGCTAGAGTGCAGTGACACTGTCTCGGCTCACTGCAACCTCTGCCTCCAGGCTTAAACCATCCTCCCACCTCAGCCTCTTGAGTAACTGAGACTATTAGCATGTACCACCATGCCCAGCTAATTTTTGTGTTTTTTGTAGAGATAGGGTTTCTCCATGTTGCCCAGGCTAGTCTCGAACTCCTGTGTTCAAGAGATCCACCCACCATCCCCTCTCAAAGTGCTGGGATTACAAGTGTGAGCCACTGTACCCAACTAGGCTACATTTTGATGATGGAATAAGAAAATAAGCAAATAAGAAAATAAACAGTAGAATTTGAAGTAAAGGCTCCCCATCCAAAGCTAGCCCTAAGGGAGTGAACTGGGTTGGATGGGCATTTTATTTAAGCAGAAGGGGCCATTCCCAGGTTCCATACTTATGCCACAAAGTCTCCTTAGAAGGCTGCTGTGGCTCATTTAAAATCATCCACAGAGCCTGGGAGGGCCTTGCAATCACCATGCTGCCCTCTGGTGCTACCATTGACCAAAACCTAGCCAGGTAACTCCAGAGATGACTATCTTAATGTCCCTGAAACTTTATCTCCATGAACTTCACCTCAGTCCTGCCCTTCTCAGATCATCCCAAATGCCTTATGTGGATTTTTTCACTTAGCACTCCAAAACCCCTGTGCATGGACATTGCTATCTTCTTTGATAGGTAAGAAATATGAGTCACAGAGAGAATAAGTAACTTCTCCCAGCTCAGAAAGCTATTGAGTGGTTCTGAGCCCAGGCAGTCTGACTCCAGAGACCTGTGCAGTCCCTTTGGAAGCCTGCACAATTAGCAATACTTGGCCCATGGTCACACCTGTCAGGGTGCCTATCAGACTTTGAGTCTGTGGTTCTGCAATGTCAAAATCAAGAGAAAAGAAACTAACATGTATTGGCCACCTACCTTATTCCAAATGATTTTTTTTTTTTTTTTTTTTTTGAGACGGAGTTTTGCTCTTGTTACCCAGGCTGGAGTGCAATGGTGCAATCTCGGCTCACCACAACCGCCGCCTCCTGGGTTCAGGCAATTCTCCTGCCTCAGCCTCCTGAGTAGCTGGGATTACAGGCACGTGCCACCATGCCCAGCTAATTTTTTATATTTTTAGTAGAGACAGGGCTTCACCATGTTGACCGGGATGGTCTTGATCTCTTGACCTCGTGATCCACCCGCCTTGGCCTCCCAAAGTGCTGGGATTACAGGCTTGACATATGATTTTTTTGTATAAGTTTATTTAATCTTAAAATTGTTTAAACCTGCAAGGTGGACAGCATGGTTCCCAATTTGCACAGGTGGAATTAATGCCAGTACAGTTTAATCAATGAGCCCGCAGTCCTTCACTTAGCACTAGAGATAGGTCTCAGACCTGAATCTGACTGAATCCAAAACATGCATTCTTGTTAAAACTGCAATTTAGGGTCAGGTGCGGTGGCTCATGCCTGTAATTCCAGCACTTTGGGAGGCTGAGGCAGGTGAATCACGAGGTCAAGAGATTGAGACCATCCTGGCCAACACAGTGAAACCCCGTCTCTACTAAAAATACAAGGAATTGGCTGGGCATGGTGGTGCATGCCTGTAGTCCCAGCTACTCAGGAGGCTGAGGCAGGAGAATTGCTTGAACCTGGGAGGTTCAAGATGATGCCATTGCACTCCAGCCTGGGTGACAGAGTGAGACTCCATCTCAAAAACACACTCAGAAAACCCCCCTGCAATTTAACCATACTGTTTTTTCAAGCAAATGGTCCTCTGGTTCTATTGAGATTTGCTTATTTATTTTCATTCAGTTTCCTTTTATAACAACTGAATAGAATTCTTTATCTTGGAGATTGAGAGCATAAAGAGATTAATTGGTAAGAATCCAGGCTATGCTACGGATTTGCCATGCTGTTAGCCTGGACAAATATTTGTGTCCTGCTATTTATAAGGAGTAACATGCGGGGTGATTTCCATGCAGTCACTACATGCTTTCTCATTAAAGGACTGGTAACTGTTTCCAGCCCCAGCTGAGCAGGGCCAGAGCCTTGTCTTTGTCCCAGTCCCTAGCCTCACCCTTTCCTCACTTCTAGGCCTGACTTTGCCAGATTACTCTTTTGAAGTAGCTCTGACTTTGCAAGATCCTCCCCACAATTTCCTTAGGCCTTTTGCCTTCTATCAGTGACGATAGTAACTGCAGGGCTATTATCTTGCAGTTCCTATCACTCTTGACATTTGTGTTCATTCATCTACAGTTTTAAATCCATCACTGAGTGCAGGATCCTTCGCTGTCAGGTCCTGAAGATTTTTGGACTCCTGATTTGTTCTGTAATTTTTTGTTCTTTGCTCTCTCTTCTCAAACCAGTGATTTCTCTGTGCCCACCAACACCTGCAGACGATCTTCCAAGGAAATGCACCTTGGCTCCAGTACCACAAGGTCAGTAAAGCCTTTCTGGCTCTCTGCACACTCTAGTCCATCCTTACTCTCAGGCTCAGTAGACATCTGGTCTCTTGCTGGGTGTCTACTGTTCACTCTGCTTCTCAGCTCTCATGCTCCTATTGTCCACCTGAATCTTGGGTCTCTGCTCATATTGTGCTTGGAAGAGCCATTTCTACCAGCCCTGCGGTTTTTGGTGGAGAGGATTAAGTTCCTTAAATACATGGCTCTTTTCTGTATAGTTGCTTCCTGGATCCTCTTTGAAAAGATCTCTTCCACAGCTTCAGGGGAAGGGACAAAAAGATTTGTATTTAATATGCAGACCTTGCAACCAGCCTTGCAACTGCTTTTCCTGCAGGAAACCCTTACAGTACCTAAAAATTATTTTACTATTTTGTGTTCTGTCCCCCTTGCACATAGGTTACACATTTTTATCACCATGTTATAAATTATGTAATGTACTTTTTAATATAATTAATATAAGTACAATATACTAAAAGAGCTGATGCTGCTCTTTAAGCATCTAAGTTAAGCTATAAAATATAGACTTGAGGCTGGGCATGGTGGCTCACACCTGTAATTCCAGCACTTTGGGAGGCCGAGGCAGGCGGATCACAAGGTCAAGAGATCAAGACCATCCTGGCAAACATGGTGAAACCGCCTCTACAAAAATACAAAAATTAGCTGGGTGTGGTGGCATGTGCCTGTAGTCCCAGCTACTTGGGAGGCTGAGGCAGGAGAATTGCTTGAACCTGGGAGGTGGATGTTGCAGTGAGCCGAGATCCCACCACTGCACTCCAGCCTTGTGCCTGGCAACAGAGCGAGACTCTGTCTCAAAATACACATACACACACATGTAGACTTGAACTTTGGGGCTGATAGTAAATACCATTTTCTGTTATTTTGTCATGAGATAGTTACCAATGCTCTGATAATAACATATTGGCATATGTTTATTACTCATGCCATTTCCTCCAAAATAAACTCTTTAAAAATTTAAACCCAAATCTAGTACAATAAAATTTCACAACATGGCTAAAAATAAAAGGAATTACATTTGATGAGCATTTACTATACGCCATGCTCTGAGCTAAGCACTTTACAGACATTATCTCATTTAGTTGCTCAACAACAAGAAGCTAGCTCACTACTAATTGTCAGTGAGCTAGCTGACACCCAGAGGAGTTAAATCACCTTAGAGTCGCAGAACAAGGCCGCTGTGGAGCGTAACTCCAAAGACCAAACCTTAACTGTCAAGTGATATTGGCTCCCCAAACTAGATAAATAAAAGTTATACTTGTGTATCTGGGGTGTGTGTGTGTGTGTGTGTGTGTGTGTGTTAGAGAGAGGAAATAAGATACTCAAAACATAACAAATTGCAGGGTCTCACCAGAATAGTTTACTGGGAAGAAATCCTCATTCTGGATTCAGAACACTTACGTAGAGTAAGCTAAAAACACGACAGTATTTTTATTATACATAGCCTGTCATTCATACAGTTTTATGGTGTGGCAGAAAATTTCTTAAGGCATAGTACTAACAATCACATTTATTTTCATTGTTTAAATGTGCCTCATGAGAAACAAACAGCAAATGAGTCAGCTAATTCCTGAAGTCCAATGGTTAACGGTAAGGTGCACAGGAAGTTGAATTAAATTTTTCTGTCTTTCAGCCTACGAAGTTACCATTTGGTACACTGCCACTTTAGAGTGACAAATAGGCAACCACTTTACCCAGATTTCATTGTTAAGGGAGTTGTGGTGTTAATGACTCACTGAGTCATTGTGGCAACAGCAGCAGCCGCCGCAGTCATGGTACTGTATTCATTACAGGGAGATGGTGTTACAAAACCAGAACGTGCCATTTCTCATCTCGTCATCTTGCCATTAATCTGGAGAAAAGCAAATGACTCCAGTTCAGCCCCAGAGTAGGTCCAAGAAGTTCTAATTTGTCCCTAGATTGATGATAATATGTCAGGGTCTCTTTAATCCCTTCCCCATTTTGCCATTTCAGTCAATGCTGGCCCTCGAGAGTTGTGCTGGCACAGTCTGTATTGCCTGCCCTTGCAGGAGGACTTGGGGGCATCAACTATTGCATACTGAGCTCTGGGATTTAAACACACACACACACACACACACACACACACACCCCCCACACTTTTCCTTAAGTTATAGGAAGTAAGGCCTTCTAACTAGACAGCAAGATCTCCTAAATCAACATCACTGAGACTTACAGTGAACTTACTTATCAATATAGACACTCCCTTATAAACATTGTGATGGAGACTGTGATTTGGCTACGTCAACATGCAACCCCTCCTCCTTCTATTTAGAAAGACTGGACATCTAGGCCAGGCGCGGTGGTTCACGCCTATAATCCCAGCGCTTTGGGAGGCTGAAGAGGGCAGATAACCTGAGGTTGAGAGTTTGAGATCAACCTGGCCAACATAGTGAAACCCCATCTCTACTAAAAGTACAAAATTAGCTGGGCGTGGTGATGTGCACCTGTAATCCCAGCTTCTTGGGAGGCTGAGGCAGTAGAATCACTCAAACCCAGGATGCAGAGGTTGCAGTGAGCTGGAATCATGCCACCGTACTCCAGCGTGGGCAACAGAGTGAGACTCCATCTTAAAAAAAAAAGGAGGGGGGGAGAAAGATTGGACATTTGAAAATAATCTTTCCAAAACTCCGTTATAGCTGGGGTTCTGGATATGCATTATACTCTGCCCAGTATATGAATCTTGTGTGAAGTAGAAGGCAGAAATGAGATGGAGTCCATATTGCTGCCAATGTTTTGGTCATTTTTTTTCTGCAGCAACATCCCAGGGCCTGTTCTCAGCTTCTAGGTGTGGAGGGCAGTTGAGCAGCAATGGTCATACCTTGATTCCAGCTTCCTGACCACTGCAACACAGCTGCGAAGCTGCACTCTTGAACTCATGTCTCTAGTGGCAGTCTCAAGAAGAGTACCTCCCCAGGGTGTCAGATCCATATTTTTCTTGAACCTGTAAAGCAACCCAAGCCTTTAATCCTGCATTAACAGAGGCAGCCATAAAAGTTGTCTGCCACAGGAAAGGCACACTCTCCAGCACCCCACTCAGAGGCAGCCAGTGAGACTAGTGGACCAAGAGAGCAAAGACATGAGCTGTGGAGGACAGTGGACAGGAATGCGCCTTCCAGGAAGCAGATCTAGGGCCTAATCAAGAACTTCACTTCATTGCCAGGACTCAAGATTTTTTTCTTTTTTTACATAGTGCAATCTTTAAAAAATTGAACAGAATAGAATTGACTACACCCAGAAATAAAATATTAGAATGTATTGTGAACAATATAGGTAAGCATTATTTTAGGGAAACATTGTAATGTACACACACACAATACAGACAGATAGATAGATGATAGAAAAATTGATCAATAGGAAAATAGAAAAATAGATTAGATAGAAAAATTGGTAGATAGATAGATAGATAGATAGATAGATAGATAGACAGATAGAAAGAAAGAAAGATAGACAGACAGATACATAGATATAGTGTCCTAGGGCTGCCATAACAAAATATTGCAAACTGGGTGATGCTGGTAGGGACATGTTCTCCCTGAAGCCTCTAGGGGAGAATCTTTGCTTGCTTCTTCCTGGCCTCTGTAGTTGCTGGCAATCCTTGGTCTTTGGCTTGCAGTTGTATAACTGCAATCTCTGTCCTTGTTTCCACATGGCCTTCTTCCCTGTGTGTGTCTGTCTCTGTGTCTCTTCTCCTCTTCTTATAAGCACAACAATCATATTAGATTCAGGGCCCACTCCACTTCTGTATGGCCTCATCTTAACTAATTATATCTGTAATAACCCTATTTCCAAAAAAAGGCCCCATCCTGAGAGTCCAGGTGAACATGCATTTTGGGGGTACACAATTCAACCAAGCAAAACCAAAAGAAAAATGTATATATACACTTTTTAAATATATATATGCTTTTTAATTTTATATATGCTTTTTAAATATAACATGTATGTATATCTACTGAGCCAATAAAAAATGTAATTCTTCCTGTGAGTCCTGATCACAAGTATGAAGTCCTTTGACTCTAGTTGAAAGGAACATGGCATCCACTTATCACAATATTAGCAAACTCCAACCACACATATTGATCATATAAGTCCTAAGAGGATGCCAAGTAGACAAGTGAACTGAGCCATGTGTAGGCTCAACTTAACACCCACTTTCACATTTATTTGGCAATAGATATGTGGTTGTCTGGATCAATGAGTGGAACTCATCATAAAATTTTGGAAACAGATGATGTCTAAATTACTCTAATGATAGTCTTTATAATGTCATTGAACATGATGAATCATAATTATTTTGCAGCCACTCCAGTGATTTCAAGCCAAATTTGAACTGGTAACCTAGAAATGAGTTTCTCGAGTATACTGACAATACTTCAAGGATTTCAAACTTCAGGGTAGTCATAACGTAAACATAGAAAGTTTTAACAGTATATTATTATGAAACCCACACGACCAAGGACCAGAAACTGGTAAATTTCAAGGATATGATGAGCAATGTTTGTGCTTATTTTAAAAAATCTCTTTCACACCATAATATCATGTTTTCCTAAACTAAAACATTTCTGATATATTGCTGATACAGTTAGAAGTTCACTGGGAAGAGCTGAAGCAAATATAGCAGAATGATAACATCCAATTTTGGTGAGGAGAGCATGGATATTTCCCATCATATTCTCCATATTTTTCTGTATGCTAAAAACATTTTTGTCTTTCATTTTTAAAGAAATGAGTTGTGCCAAACGATATCATTTTGCTTATTCATGCCTCAAGGCCTCAACTCAGTGGCTGCTGGGTTCTGTTTTCAAAGCTCCTGAATCTTCCTAACCTGTTCTCTGGCCTTTGATGTCACATAGTCTTCAATTTCACCAGAAGACTTAGGCTGAAGTTCCCATTGTGGAGTGGCATCCAGGGAGGTCCTGGGTTCTCTCCAGCAATCTGGTTAG